GTTCACTGCTCCCCTTGTTTTCTTAAAGATCCACTCATACTCAGTAAATCCCCACTGGTAGCAATGTTCTAATGCTGATGACCTGATAAAATGAGGTGAGTTCACCTGACACCCGCTCTGTCAGCGATGGGACTGATCTGTAAATGTGCAGCATGTTTTGATTTAGATTGTTTTGTTGCATCGCGGCTAAGAAGCCGCCTTCACGTGTAGTTTTGATCGGACGCGTGTAATCGCCATGCCGGCGCATTCAGCTGTGCAGCGTCTCTCATCATTTCTGTCACTTACACTCTCCTCTCTTTCCCCGTCACACTTTCGCGAGGCGGCGTTCTCATTTACGGCATTTCAGAACAGAAAGCTATACAGAGAAAATGACAAATTAGTTATAGCCGCGATATCTCAGTAAGTTGTTTTTCCAATTTATCGTGCTATCCAGACATAGGTGGTTAGAGCTCATTGGAGGCTCCTCTCGCCACCTCTGTGTTGGAGCAGGTTGCGTCAATTCCACCCAAAATGACCGCAGACAGCTGCACAGAGAAGATATTTAAATGATCTATCATGCAAAAAGAAATATGCAGCTCAAATGGAAAAGGAAAGATTAAATCCAGACAAATCGCACAACTCGTGGCAAAAATCCTAATTAGTACCTACGCCACAATTCAGCTGAAAAATAGCCGGCATACAAACAAAAGCAATACAGTTCCTCACTAATGATCATGTCATATTTCAGGAGAGAGGCTGTTGTTCTGTGCTGTCATCCACTTACAAAGAAAAACTTGTTAATTGTGTGTTGCCTTGCATTAGTATTTGAAATAGGACGTGAGAAAACCACCTCTAGATGCGTTCCTATTGAGGTATAGCCATTACTACATTATAAAGAAATGAAAGTTTAAATGAAGAATCTGAATCGCAGGATCACATCAAAAGATTAGAAAAGAACTTCTACAACAGACGCTGCCGTTCAAGGTGATGTCAATAATTAAAAGAGGCCGGATGCCGGATTCTCGTCCTGAAGCGGAAGCAGGCGGCATGTCGCGCGTACAGGGGGAACATTATACCCGAAGCCTGCTTCCCCTTAATAAACATGATATTCCAGCTTCGCACGGTGCTCAGTGAGCCGGCTGAGCGCTCGGCGGCTACATCGATGCTTCTCCCAGAGTACGAACACACAGGCTGGATTGAAGCCCGCAGTGTGATGAACATCGCTGTGAGTTCGGTCCCCTCGTTCCCTCCCTGAGCCGCACGGGAAGACCATCACGCCTCGCTTCCTCAGAACACCCGCTCTGCGCTCGCCCGAGCAGGTTCCAGACGTCCGTGACCCGCAACGCCGCTGATAATCAAGGTGGCGCGACGCGGAGGGACCAGAGCGTGGTCAAAAGGCAGGATTGACAATTATTGTTGGCATTTGTTTAACCTTTTTGCGTTGACTACCTGAGCTGATGCTGCGGCTACCATCGGCGTTACAAATGTTTCTAAAATACAACTTTTTGACGTACATTGATGGGGGGGGGGGGGGGGGTTTAGACTATCTAGACTTTATTTTATCTTAACTTTCACTTTAGTTCCATTTGCCTGCATTATCTCCACTGACCAGCAGGTGGAAACTCCTCTGGTTGCAAAAAGCAGGTCAGATTGTGAAGTTCTCACTGGATGTATCACCTCCAGTAAACATCAACATGGGTTCATTGTCACAACTGCCAGTTTCAAGTGTTCTTCAATGCAGCGTGATGTTCATTTGCTTAATTATGGTGCATTTAAAGTCAAAAAGTGATGCGTGTGGAGCTGCGATCGACATGTCTCTACCAGAGCCTTCTACGTCACTCCTCCACATTCCAGATACGGCGACTTTCTTTGACGGGACAGCGAGGATCGCCAAACCCGGCCCGCAAACCGGCGGGTGGCGTTGAAACCACGTTGTCCATTTCCGCCGTCCGCTGTATGAGCGAGCTCATATTCATAAGTCAGATTCTGACTTCAGAAGACCATGTCAGTGACGGGCGTGAGCATGATTAATGCCTAAATGTGCATAAATGAGTGCATGTTCATGAGAATTGTAAATTAGAAGTGTTAACCCCCCCCCCAGTGATACCGTATGAGGGCATGCATCCTTCCAAATGTGTCCTATATCATTTTTAATGGCGTCGGCAGCAGATTTAAGGGGCATGCTAAAGCCAAGGAGTAACATATTGATCGCGGTGATGATTTGTTACCTAAGCATTGTACCGTCACCGAAATAAAGAAATGGTTCCATATGAAAAAGTTGTTGTCACAGCAAGGCAACAACTTCGTATTGATCCTTTGAGGTTATCCAATAGCATCTATATCCAATTTAAAGCGGCTGGTGATGCTGTCAAGACATATAGCTTGAAATTTGACCTAGTTGAAATGGACTGAATAAAATACTGACATATTCTGGAGGATAAATATGATTTTAGAGCAAATTACATGGAGGAATGTCTTCTTAAGACGGGCGTTTTTTAATCTATCTGAGGTTCATGTTCTGGCCGATTACTCGGGTTTAATGTGAGCCACTCCGTCATGTTTGAGAACAACTTCATCAACATTCTTTGTACACTGTGAATGCAAAGAAGCATGACTCATTTTAAGTGTCCGTATTTACATATTTGGTCTGTTTTTTTGTGTTTTTTTCACATCCATAAGTGATATGTTAATGCATAGAATACACCTTCAGGTGTTGTCAGGGTTTTAATGTACAAAAAGACATTTTTAGGATGTGATGTATGGAAAGAAAATATCTTACTTCTTTCAATGTCTAATTGTTAATATTACAGGTTATTTGATTCTATATCTGTTTCAAAATAACTGCAGTTATTCCACTCAGTCGGGAGTCTTCTCAATGATGTCCAAACTGAATCCTGTCAGTTTACCAAGTAGGGCTGCAACTAACGATTATTTTGATAAGCGATTAATCGATTATTTTTCCGATTAATCAATGAATCGGATAAAAAAACAGTATTAAAAAAGCTTTAATTCCCACCCTTTATTCTAAAACAGAACTGCAAATTCACATTGCAAAAAGTCTTCAGAAAGTCCATAAACATGTTGCTCATTGAACATAATAATTTATTAAAAAAAAAAAAATACATATCAGAAAATTTACCAAGATTTGTTTTTAACGTCAGAACTTGTTCTCTACACTACACTCAAAGGCTCACACTCAGACGTTGCAGTCCTATTACAACGAGATCCAAATAATGAGGCCAATCTAAAATGATCAAACTAACAAATAATGGCACTTTGCACTAGAGTGGACTGATGCATTGAACGATGTGACCAAAGAGGGCCGGACACAGAATACAACATTCCTGACTATGCTCTCACTTAGGAAGCATAACTGTGTTTCTTCTTCTTCACTACATTATGCCACGGCGATCAAAATGCTTCTACTGAGGGGGGGGGGGGGAGGGGGGTGTCCATCCAATCCGAGGCCTCGCAGACGCTTCGCCGCGGCCCAGAGACGGACATGAGAGGCGCTCACGTCAGTAAAGCTGTCAGGCAAAATGAATTCATTCCAATTAACGGCGGTTTCGCAAAGTGCCGTGGTAACAAGCCGGGGCTCTAAGAGGGAGGCTCGCCCCTCGATGACCCCTGACAGGCCGGCGGGAAGCCCGAGCCTCCGCGCCCGTAATGAGCTGCTGTCTTTCTGCCACAGGCCGCGGGGAGACGAGCCGCGGAGACGCCATCCAAGCGGCAGAGCACGAGCAGACGCTCTTGGGGGAGGAGGGGGCGCCGCGGTTACAACTCAGAGCTCACGTGGTGATATTACATGATTATTTTTATGCTTTTCTATTGGGGATGTGGTCATTTTGATAAAAGCGGTTTACAGTTCAAGCTGGTCGAGAGTTGAGCGGATCTAAAAGGTGGCGAAAGTGAAAGTGAAGATTTTAATGAAGCTTCCCCAATTCATTACGTCTGTTGTGAAGCAAGTTTTTGGATGTTTAAATATGGAAATGAGGCCTTATCTTGTCAAATATGTGCTTGTGTGCATGGAGAACACAAATGTCAGTACTGAATGGAGCCGGGTTTTGGGAATATAATAAAGTGTCTGTTTCAATCCCTCAATCAGAAAACACCGTCAACAGCTGTAAAACAATCAATTTGCACCATGTCTTTAGGAATAGGAGGTTAAAAATCTGGCAATGAAAAAAAAACAGATTATAGAAAGGAATGATACTGGGCCTGTCAGAGTGAGGAAAAAAAATGTATATAATGTACATCACGACGGATTTTCTCCAGTCGATGACTGACATTTAGACTATTCTTTTTTTTAATTAAAAGTGTTGAGGTACACAATTATGAATTATTTGTTATTTGTTAATTGGTTAAAATGTTGTAAAAAAAAATTTTTTTAAAACATTCAAATGTGTATTTTGTGAAAACTAATTCTCTGTCCAGTGAATGAGAAAGGATGTTTTTACCTGTTTTCGTGTCGTCTGCATGCAGATGTGATACAGCTGCACTTGTGATGTCACTGATCTGTCCTCTGGAAAGTTGTGTTTGTGGGTGCATCTTGGCTTACAAAAGCTTAAATTGTCTTTTATGAGTTGAATGTTTTGTGAACCAAACAACAGCTTATCGAGTCGGTAGAAAGAGAAAAGGAAACTCCTAAAGAGCAAGCAATACATATTTAATGAGACATTTAACAGAGAAAAGCTGTAAATCCTCCCATCTGTAGTGTGTTACATATGACACAGATTCCATTCTGACAAACAAAGCCTCGTGCTGTTTATTCGATTTAATGACATCATCATCGGAGATTTCATCTGCTTAACTGGACCCTTGACCCTGATTTTGTCTCTGGAGTTTCACTCTATCACGTCCCCGGATGTCCTCAGACACACAACCCCCGCACGGTGAGGCTGTGAAGTTGGTCCGTCCCGGTATCACAGACACACACACACACACACACACACCTCGCCAGGTGACCACGTGGCCTCCTCACCTGCGAGAGACCGTCACACAACTGGTGTATCGGCACTCACCTCCACACTGCAGGGCGGTCGGGGGGGACACACGTGAAGAAGCGGTCCGCTGTCCCTCGGTCGAGTTGATATCCGGACACCGGCTCCGAGGTGTCCGCGGCGGATGCGCGGCGTGTTTCCCGCTGCTCCGCGTCCTCTCCCGCGGTTAGATTTCCTCTGCGTCGTCGCCTCTCACGGACACAAACTTTGAGGACGCTATGAGGGACATTTGTGTCCGCTCGAAGGCTCGCTGACACGTCCCCGAAGACTGCGCCCCGCGACTGTTGATGCTGCGCGCGCTCCGCTCTCTCTCTCTCTCTCCCCCCCCCC